TGGGTTGGGTTGGGTTGATTGAGTTGGGTTTAGTTGGGTTGGGTTCAGTTGGGTTGGGTTGGTTTAGGTTGGTTCAGTTGGGTTAGTTTAGGTTGGTTCAGTTGGGTTGGGTTGGTTTGGTTTAGGTTGTGTTGGGTTGGTTTGGTTTAGGTTGATTGGGTTGGGTTGGGTTGGGTTGATTGAGTTGGGTTTAGTTGGGTTCAGTTGGGTTGGGTTGGTTTAGGTTGGTTCAGTTGGGTTAGTTTAGGTTGGTTCAGTTGGGTTGGGTTGGTTTGGTTTAGGTTGTGTTGGGTTGGTTTGGTTTAGGTTGATTGGGTTGGGTTGGGTTGGGTTGATTGAGTTGGGTTTAGTTGGGTTCAGTTGGGTTGGGTTGGTTTAGGTTGGTTCAGTTGGGTTGGTTTAGGTTGGGTTGCTTTAGGTCGATTGCGTTGCGTTGGCCAATCCCAGCCGGGTGGGGGAGGGGCCATCAGCCAATTCTCACCGCGCCGGCGCCATCGACCCCCAACGACCCCCAACGACCCCTCCAACCATCATCAACCACTCTAACCAGTCCCCAACTGGTTAACCCTTCATTGACCCAACTGGTTAACCCTTCATCGACCAGTCTAACCAGTCCCCAACTGGTTAACCCTTCATTGACCCAACTGGTTAACCCTTCATTGACCCAACTGGTTAACCCTTCATCAACCAGTTCAGCCATAACCAATGACATCATTGATGACCCAATGATGTAATCAGCAACCCAATGACCTCATCGATAACCCGATGACGTCATCGAGGGCCCAACTACCCCATTGATGACCCAACGACCTCATCAAAAACCCTGTGACGTCATCGATGACCCAATGACGTCATCGATGACCCAACCCATGACCCAATGACGTCATTGACGACCCACTCAAGGATCCAATGACGTCATCGACGACCCAACCCCCCCCCCCACCGCCGGCCCTCGGGCGCCTCCGGGGCGGCGCAGGGCGGGTCTGGGGGGAGGGGAAAGGGGGAGGGGCCAGCCAATGGGAGGGTGAGTCAACGCGACGGAAGGGAAGTCAAGGCAAGGCCAAGATTTGGCCAAACTCAACGCAACTCAATGCAACTCAACGGAACTCAACCAAGTCAACCCAACTGAGCTTGAGTCCACTCAACGCAACTCAACTAACCCAACTCAACCCAACCAAACCCAACCCAACTCAACCCAACCAAACCCAACTCAATCAAACTCAACCCTCGCAACACAACCCATGCAACCCATGCCAACCCAACTCAACCCAAGTCAACCAAACCCAACCCAACTCAAACCAACTCAACCCATCCCAAATCTATCAACTCAATCCAACCCAACTCAACCCAACCCAACTCAACCCAACCCAACTCAACCCAACCCAACTCAACTCATACTAATCAACTCACTCAACCAAAGTCAAATAAATCAACTCAACCCAACTCAACTAAACTCAACCATCCCAACCCAACCCAACTCAACTCAACCCAACCCAAATCTATCAACTCAACCAAACCCAAACCAATCAACTCAACTCAATCCAACCCAACTCAACCCAACCCAACCCAACCCAACCCCCCCCAACCCAACTCAAGTCATACCAATCAACTCACTCAACCAAACTCAAATAAATCAACTCAACCCAACTCAACCAAACTCAACCATCCCAACCCAACCCAACTCAACTCAACCCAACCCAAATCTATCAACTCAACCGAACCCAAACCAATCAACTCAACTCAATCCAACCCAACTCAACCCAACCCAACTCAACCAAAGCAAACCCAACCCAACTCAACCCAACCCAACCCAACCCCCCCCACCTTTACTCTTGTTCCTCATGGCCGATTTCAGCAGCGCCGCCTTCAGCGCCGCCTTGGTGTCGTCCGAGATGGCGCCGTCCCTCTTGGGCGCCGCCGCCGGTGCCGCCGGCGCACCGGGCTCCGCCTTCACCCGTGGCGAGTCCATGGGGCAGTCGGGGGCGGGGCCCGGGCTGGGCATGTCCACGTCGGCGCAGGGCGGCCACGCCGGGCCGTTGGCGGCCGTCACGGTCGCCATGGCCGCGTTGAGGTCGGCGTTGACTGCGTTGTTGGCGGCGTCGACGTTGGCCATGTTGACGTCGACGCCGGCCTTGTTGCCCGCGTTGGCCACGCCCACCACGGCGGCGGGCGGCGCGGGCGCGATCTGCCGCCGGATGCCGTCGCGGCGGGCGTGGAAATCGGCGATCTCGGCCACGATGGCCGCCTTGATCTCCTCCTTGGTGAGCGCCTGCCGGTCGAAGGCGAAGTCGAACGCCGGCACGCACTCGGGCTCGTCCTCGGGGTCGTGGTATTTGGCCAAAAATGGGTGGCGCAGCGCCTCGGCCACGCCCACCCTCTCCCGCGGGTCGAAACGCAACATCCTCCCCAGCAGCGCCAACGCCGCCGGCTCGGCGTCGCCGAAGAGGCTCTCCCACGGCACCGGCGGGCGCGGCGGCAAGCT